GCTTGGAGCAACCTGGGCTAGTGGAAGGTGTCCCTGCCCATGGCAGGGGTGGGACTGGGTGGGCTTTAAGGTCCCTCCCAGCCCAACCCCTTCAGTGATGATGATGATGATGATGATGATGATGATGAAATAAGATAAAACTCCTGCAGCCACGAGGTCGTTTGCTGGGACACCCCCACGAGCAGGGCTGAAAACCCCTGTTTTCCTGTTAATTACCTTTGAAGCAGGAGTCCCTTAGAGGTTTGTCTGTGCAAATCCCAGGGGTCTGTGGGGCTCAGCCCCCCTCGGGCAGGGAGCACCACGAGCCCCCTCTGAATCTGCAGGAGCTGGAATTCCAGAGGAACCCAAATTAAAACGTGTCCGTTCACGATTCCACCCACAGACCCAGAAAACGCCAAACTCGTATTATTTTTGAATCCCCCTGATTTTTCAGGGCTGCTGGAAATAAGATCTCTCGCTTCTGACTTCTGAGCAATAAAGAGGTGAATCGCTGCTGCAAACACCTCCCGTGGACCACCCAGCTCCTCAGGGCTGGGAGCCACAAGTGGCAAAGTGCAGAACTATTTTCTTAACACGGCTGAGATTGCACGAGGAGGCAAAACACTCCCGAGAAGGAGCAGAGTTCCCTAACGAGGTGGCCGAGTGAGAAGTGTGTTAATGAATACAGGCTGATTAATATGCATGGAACTAAACCACATCTGGGTCAAAGGGGGAGCCCCAAACCTTGAGTGTAACGTGTTCTCCTCAAGGACCCAACATCTGTGTGTAACTCAGATTTAAATAGTTTTTTTCCCCCCCTCATAATTCTGGATAATTATCCAACTCTGCATAATTTTTTTTTCTTTCTAACTAAATAATAGTTAGGATTTTTGTTCCTGGCTGTGATTGGTCAGATCTTTCATTTTTGTAAGATTCTGTGACTTTCTGAAGAGTCCTGCTGGGCTTTTAAAAATTGTGACTTGCAAATCACCATATCAAGAAACATGGTGCCAATCACATAAAATATACAGAATTACATGGTTTTAACATTTATTTGTTGTCGTTTTTAATGAGAAAACATGGCTCTTTTTAACAGAACGCTGGCTGGGAGTCCTCAGAGCAAAATTGTCCATCTGTTATTGGTGTTTGTACGTGGAATAATATTTCGGGAGACCAGCTCTTAATTTGGGACACCAGCCTCCACACTGAGCCTGTTTCAGGACACGCTGGAGGGAGTCACCCTGGAATAAACCATAGGGGAATTCCAAGTTATGCAGATATGTCGGGGAGGACTTGTAATTAAGACATTGGGTTTGTAATTGGGAGATTTGGGTCCTGTTCCAGGTTCACAGAAGCTAAAATTTAAAAAAAAAAATAAATTAAAAAAAAAAACCAACAAAAAAGCTTCTTCAAAGGCACACTTCTGTATTTAAGGCATTATTTCCCTCCCAGAGGGTTCCAGGAGTGTCGCTGTCCCAGAGCCCTGGGCAGCAGCGGGAAGCAGGGAATTCCTGTAGGGCCGGGAGCACCATGGAAATCAAGTCACTCTATACCCCTGGCTGATCCCTCTCCTGCTGAAAACAAGGGAAAAGCTCACACTGTGAGCTCAGGAATACCTCTGGGCAGGGAGGAAGGGTTTGCCATCCTGGAAGATCCGCAAAGTCTCCGTTAGGGCGCTAAAACCCACCACCGCGCTTTTCTGGTGGAATTTGAGGAGGTTAAACACCTTCTGGTGCCTTCTTTCCTTTTTAGGTGCTCCTGATCATCAGTGGGAACCTGAGTTTCCTGAACTGGCTGACCATGGTGCCCAGCATCGCCTGCTTCGACGATGCCAGCCTGGCATTCCTGTTCAGCTCCCGGCGTGGGGCCGTGAGGGAACGGGCGGCGCGGATGCAGCTCCGGGAGGGACAGGCAGAGAAGCTTCCCCTGGGTGAGTTCTTGCCAGAGGGGGAAAAGTTGGGCGGAGGCGTGTCTGGTGTGCTTGGCTCCAAAGCTCTCACCTCCTTTGGAGCACAGCTGGGTGGGCAGGGAGGGCTCTCTTGGGGTGGAGGCTGCCTGGACCTCGTGGTGCTGATGGGGATGTGAAGCTGGTGGTTGGTTCGTGGGGGACTGCAGGGACACTGCCAGGGGGAGATTCCCATGGGGACACTGCTGCCAGAACACATCTTCCATGCAGGGCTGGTGTCCACAGCGAGTCCAGGCAGCTGCAGCTCTCAAAAGTCAGTGCTCTTTGCTCTCACCCCAGTGAGGATCAGATTCCAACCCAAAATAAGGAGGTGGAGTTGCACAATTTATCTTGTGATTGTTATTTTTTGTCTTTTTTTTTATTCTTTTAATTTGGACTATTTGAAGTTAAGGATGGAACACCCAGAGTGGTTTGAGGTGGGGTCAGGAGATCTGAGAGCCCCTTCCAGTGCCTAAAGGGGCTCCAGGAGAGCTGGAGAGGGACTTGGGACAAGGGCCTGGAGGGACAGGACAAGGGAAAATGGCTTCCTGCTGCCAGAGGGCAGGGTTAGATGGGATATTGGGAAGGAATTGTTCCCTGTGAGGGTGGGGAGGCCCTGGCACAGGTTGCTCAGAGAAGCTGTGGCTGCCCCATCCCTGGAAGTGTCCAAGGCCAGGTTGGACAGGGCTTGGAACACCTGGGATGGTGGAAGGAGCAGCTGCCTGTGGCTACCACTTGCTAACATGGGCACTGTCACAGCAGGGAGTGAGTTCCCCAAAGCAGGGAAGAGGTGAACTCATGTTCAGATCCTGAATACAGAAAACCAAATACAAGGAGGGTTGTAACTGGAAGAAAGGGATGGATGTTCCCTTCTCAAGGCAGTTTTCAAGCAGCCCTGCTCCAGAAGAGGGAACACTGGGGTGTTTCTGTGGTGTTGTGTAACAGATGTACAGTTGTGTTTGTAGCATTTTTCAAAACCACATATAAGCAACAAATTGCCTGTAATATCAACAGCAATCACAGATGCTCGTCTTTAAATACCCTGAACATCTGTCAGAAGAATGAAAAATGTCAACAAGAGGCAGCATCTGTCTTTAGTCCTTTGTCACCTACCAAGAAGCAGCTTAGGAACCAAAAATGTTGGTTCCAGCAGCTAATGCAGCTTCATTAAATTTTCTGTGTCTCTTATTTTACAGATTTTGCTGGAATAAATCTGTATCAGCTTTTCCCCTCCCGTAGCTTTGCTTTAGAGGCTGGGAGAGCCTCGAGCTTTTCTACCAGCTCTGTTTATGCCTCCAGTCCCAAACAACACTCAGGTTGCACCTTCCTTTCAGGAGGAGAAGCCACAGGGCTCCTCTTTGCTGTGAGTCACCATGAGGGGAAGGAAGATCCTGGTTTTGAGGATCTTGCTCCTTTTTTGTCATGTTCTCCAGAAAACCTGACTAAGCCAGGGCATCCAAGCAAGGAGAACCATCCCTACATGCCACTGCTCTGGAGGGTTGATGTGTCCCTGTTCAAAAAAGGGAGTCCACAGGGGTAGGATATCTGTAATATTCTGGGAATTTGGATTTCTGTGTGTTTTTTCTGCTGAGGAGGCAGAAGTTGTTGAGCTGTGTGCCAAGAGGCCTAGAGGAGCCCTCACTCTGAGTCACCAGAGCAGAACAGGAGGGTGCCCAGCCATGCCCTGCTCACGACCTGATTTTACAAGGCTCTGGCCTCATCCTTGAAGGGTCTGTGTGATTCCTGCTGAGACCCCCAATTCCCAGCCAGATCCCATTGGCTCGTGTCCCGTGCTCTTTCCCCAAGTTTTGCTCCATCCTTGCCATCTGGATTATTTTTTTCCTCGTGTTAACCCCTCTTTCTCTCCGGCTGAGCAGCTGTGACCCCAAGGGAATGATGACAATGATGGTCACCACCTGCTGAAGGACAAACAGCCCTTGCACAGCCATGGACTGAACTGAGGAGCCAGGTGGGGGGCTCTGTGTCTCTACCTGCTCTTTAATTACAGAGTAGGAAGTTCAGCCCGTCTAAAATAGGAAAAAATGCCCGACAGCCTCATCCCCAGCAGCTCAGGGAGCGAGGGGAGGCACCTCCTTCCCCATTCAAATGATTCTCCAGAAATGTTCTCAGACTAAACAATTATTAAGAGCTTCTGAGAGAGGTTCAAATAAACATCCCTCTCCTGCAGAGATAAGGGGAAAGCTCCACACAATTGCTTTGAATCTGATCCTTTGGCTGTTAATGTTAAATAAATTCAAAAGGGCCATGAGGGAAGGAGCCCCTGGGGGGCTCACCTCTGCTTATTTGTCTCATTGTGGCAGTGTCTGTCCAGACTGGGATCCTGTGCTGCTCCTGCAAACCCCGTTCCAAAGGGCTGGCAAAGCAGCACACATCTCGTCCAGAAATGATAAGGGACAGAGATTTTGGAGCAGGACCATGAGGCAGGATGGTGAGAGCCCGGGGCAGCAGGAGGAGGCAGGAACTCCACACACGGCTCCCAAACCAGGAGGGAGATTCTGAGCAAGGTGCAAGTGCCAGCTGTGGTTTTTCCCCCCAGATGAAAGCGGTGATTAATGTTACATTTCAGACATTTTTCCTTTTAGCCCCTTCTCAGACTATTTAGAGACAGGCAGATCCGGGCAGCGATAGCGAGGCCGGGGGGTGGCCGACGGCTGGGCCAGCACGGGGGGGGTCCCACGGGGAGGGGGGTTTGGGGGAGCAGAGCCCATCACCGGGAGGGAAATCACCTTCCTCTGGCCTGGTTGTGTGTCCCACACAGGCTGCCACGTCCGCAGAGTGGTGAACATCTCCTTCGGCCTCCTCCTCGCCTACCTCAGCGTGCCCGTGGTCCTGAACCTGCTCAACTCCAGACAAGTCATGAACACCTCCTTCAACCCCCTCAGGATAGTCAACACCTACGGAGCTTTCGGGAGGTACACCTTGTTTGATGGCACTTCCTATGGCTCTGCTCCTTTCCCTGGGATATTCCAAAGCCACACAGTCTGTGTGCCTTGAATCTGAACAGAAATCCTGCCAGGAGCCAGTAGACCCGGAATATCTGTTTGTGAGAGAGAGGGAGAAAAGGAGCAGGTTTCTTTCCCACTGAACTACATTTTATGGAATATCTGTTTGTGAGAAGGAAGGAGAAAAGGAGCAGGTTTCTTTCCCACTGAACTACATTTTATGGAATATCTGTT